TCTCTCTCTCTCTCTCTCTCTCTCTCTCTCTCTCTCTCTCTCTCTCCTCGGCTTCCGTAGCGCTACCCGAAGCTCCACGTCGACCGCTCCGGTCATACGCACCAACTCTCGAGCTACCGAGCGCTGTAGTAGACGTCCCCGACTGTGAAGACGAAGCCTGATCTCGCGCGCACCCGTGTCGCCTGTCTTCTCGCTCCCCCTCTTCCTCTCTCTCCCCTTTTCTCTATTTCTCTCTCTTCTCTGCTTTCTTCTCTCTTTCCCCCTCTCCCCCTCTCGTTTCCTTCAGCGCTGACTGAGGCTACACACCAAGCGTCCTGGACATGCGCGCTAACTCCAGTTCTCCGAGCGCTGTCACGGGCATCAGTGACCGTGAAGACGAAGGCCGGTCTCGTGCGCCCCTTTTCAACCGTCTTTGCGCTTCCTCGCTCTCCCTCTCTCTCCCTCTCGGAACCCAAGCCGTTGCTGAGCGCCGTGAAAAACGTCGCCCAGTTTCGTGCGATCGCGCGTTTGTTCTTTCTCCCTTCCCTCTCCCTTTTTTTTTTGAGCTCGTCTCTGTCCCTTTTTATACTTCCACTCCTTCCTCCGACTCCTACCCAGCAAGTTCCTCCCCCGTAGGCGCCAAGTTCTAAATTTTCACGAATTTTTTGGACTCCCGCTCATTTACTGCCCCTGGTCCGTTCAGCGTTCTCTCTCAATTGATCCGCCTAGCTCCCTCCTCCTCCAATAGGGCAATCCCTCTTAGCGCCGTTTCGGATCTCCGCGCTGCGTTTGACCTGCGCGCGCCCCCCCACCTTCTTCCTTGCGATCCGTCATGCGTTTGTCCCAGCCAATCGCGGCTCGCTCTGACCTCTTCCGTACAAGAAGAACCCGTGGTCTGCATATCAGTTTCGTCGATTGGGCTCCCCTCCCTCGGGGAGCGCTTTAACTTATTGGAGCGCAGGGGACTTGCGCTCCCTCCGTGCCCTGGCTGACAGTTATCAAGAATCCGGCATGCGCGCCTTCGCTCTTTCCATTGAAATTCTTCCCTTTCCCCCTCCATTTCCAATTGGGCTCTGCATCTTGGCGCCTTGGGTGCTTCGATACCCGCCCGATTGTCCTCAGTCACCCAATTCATTCTCCGCCTAACCTGTTCTCACCTCCGATCTATGAGGGGTTGTGCGATTCAACCCGCCCCTTGAATTCAGATACACGCAGGCTGCCCGCCACCTTGCAGATGCGTAGCCCCTCCCCCTTCTTTCCAGCACCAACGTTCATTGCCGTTGGCGATTGCCCTCCTCTCCGAATTCGATCCTCCTCCTTCCCACTCTTCTTTTTTTCACCAGGCCGCCGACCATTGAACTGGTTACTTGAATAGCCAGGCCATGCAGTCACCCATCCAGGATCTGCTCGGCCCCGTCCAACCGACCTCGGACCGGAGGCCGTGGCCGAACTCTATTGTCCTTTTCCCGAAGGTATTCCAACGCCTGCGCCCCCAGTGATCCCTTGGCCATCCCAGTGGACTGCCTCATGCCCCTCGAAGCTGCCCATGACGACCCTTCTCCGTACCAGGTTCTCTCTCAGCTTTTCCCGTTGGCCCCGCACCGGTTGCCTCCCTCCTTGTCATTGCGTGACTCGTCGAGACCTTGGATTACGGCCCAGCTCTCAGCCTAGTTCCAATCAGACTTCCTTTCCCTCCCCGTGCCGTTCGCATTCCGTCCGCTGCACTTTTTTTTTCCAAAGCCTCGTCGGTGAGGGCCCCCCCATCGCCTTTGATCCAAACAAGCCGCAGCCCCGTTATGACGTCGAAGCCGGTTGCTCCCTCATCTTCATCATTCATCACTTTCGGCTGAAAGTCCCGTTTCTGCTCCGCTACGTCATGCGAGGTCAGACCTGGTACGGCCGACCTTCGATTTGACCGAGGCACCGGAATCTTCCTTAATCACCCTGCCCCGGAGAAAGTCCTGCTTTTGGCTCTGCCCACGTTGGCCTTCTTGGTGACTTACACACTCGTAGGTTTTCCATGGAAGATCCGTACGTGGTCGTCACTCCCACCTACCCACTGCAGTCCTCCATCACCTTCTTAAGACCTGCCCTTGACGTGGCCACGTTTTCACCCGAAAGTCGAATTACGCGGGACCGGAGCAGATCGCCAGTTTTTCCGTAGTCAAACGCGAGATCTCCCAGGTTCTTTCATTGCGAATTTTCCGTTGTCGGGGCCGTACCCTGAAGGACTTTCGAGCCTTGGTCGACCCCACTACGGGTCCCACTTGGCTCGACCCGCCCACGCTCACTCTAAGGGCGCGGATTGTTCGTCCCAGGGACACCCTCAACTAGTGCTATGAGATGGATGGGGTTGGGCCATTAGGGCGAGAGAGCTTAACATTGGGGATGTAGCTCAGCCCTCTAGCCGGGCGGTAGCCTCATTGGGCTCGGTCCGCAGGCGTAAGGTTTTCGATTCTCTGTTTGTCTTACCAGACAATTGCTCCTTCCAATAGTCAGGCAGTCCAGGGGGGTTCATTGAGAGTTTTCTCTTCTTTACAGTGCGTAGGCTAAGCGTTCTCCTTAGGCCACGCACTCCTTCACCAACGGCCCTAGTTTCCTATAGCATCATCGGGGCGGCTCGTCCCTTTGCCCCTAGTCCCTATCTTCCGTCTAGTCAGCCTACGCATACATTTCCCAGGTCTCGTGACCGCCCTTAGTCCTTCCAGGCGGTCCTACCAAACTCGCGACCCAGCCACAACCACACATCACGACAAAGTGAGGGTCCAACCCCATCCCCGACCCTTAGTCTTTTCAGGTCGCGCTAGTCATGCAATCGTCAAAGCCCAAGGTCCATCCCGGCCGTTCGAGATTCAACCCCCGTCCTCCTCATTACGGTCCCATGTCGCACAATCCCTTCATTGCCAGATCGTCCAAGCCACTTACCTGCAACACATCCAAATAAACATGACAATGGCATACGTCCGTCCCCGATGGGGTCAACACACCACCCCTCATGCAAGTCCAAGTCTCCCCCTTCCTTTTTCTTGCTTTTGGGTGTCTTCCTTCCTTCCTTACAGTCAAACCACACTCTTCTTACTCAGGCATGCAGTCGTGGAGGTGGTTGAGTCGACTGACCTTGTCCCAAACAACACTCCCTTTTGCTCTCACCCACGTCCTCAATAGTCTCGTATCCTTTTCCTTCTTGGTGGCACAAGGGACCGGCAGCCCTTCCCTTGCCCTCGCTCTCCACCAAGTGAGGACCAAGTTCCTTTCCGTTCGTTCCCT